TCTATCTTATCTACATATTAAAAAAATAACCTCAATATAAATCGATATTGAAGAAAATATTTTTACCATATAAATTGTCTGTGACATTTCATAAGTTGACAACTTCTCATGTGGACAACTTCTCATATTTATTATTTTTAATTGATTTTTTTTTATTTTTTCATGTTTAAATATGACTCAATCAATAACATCAGCATTATTATACATATAATTACTAAAAATTTTTGAGGTATATCGGCAAAGATGCAAGAGTACCTTTATCACTGTGCAATGTACCGTCCCTGAACGCGCGAACTTTAGACTACCTGATTTGTCTATTATAAATGCTTCCCATTTGAAAAGTATTATAGCCTCGACATTTTCGTATTAGGATTTTCGTCTTACTTTTTGCTCAGAAATACGCTATTAAAATTTCGGTCACGAGTTGCGGTACACCCTGTATATTACGTTAAGTATAGTGCAGAAAAAAATCATGTCCGATACACGACATTCAGAAAGATCCTTCACATGGCAGTATGTGTCGTAGGTATCAGAAATAAGACGTTTCGCCGACGTATGTAAATGGAACTATCGCCTATCACACTTAGAGATGATATTTAGCATCTCAATAGGTAATCAAAATAGTTTAGCTTCGGAATTGCGGTATTATTTGAAAAACATATTGCGGAAGTGCGACTTTAGTCTAACGTCTAACATTAGATTCGCTAATCTTGTGTGAGATAACGAACGATATGTACACATCTTCCACAATGATCCCAGGCGTCAAGTTAGACGATTAAATAATGACGATTAAAGAAATGATGACAGCGTAAAATATACCGCACGTACGTGACAATAAAAATAATATCGCACTACTTCTGATAAAATAGAATCGTATTATTTGACTACGACGGTTGGAAACTCCGTTAAAGATTCTTCTGTTGTATCTTGATAACGAGCGATTAGGTTTGTATTGCTATACATGCGCGAATAATAGAGACATACAAGAATAAACATCGCGTTATACGCGCAATGATAAGAATTTCGATTTACATACGTTCAGTCTAGCGACTTTGATCTGTCTAATTTGTGTTTACTTTCAAGATCAAAGTTTACGCTCCGATTCATCGCACAAGGAGGACCGCGGGCCTCCTCGACATTTTCACTCGGAGGTGATTGCACATTTTCAAAAATAAAGGATTCTAATATCACATTATTGGATGGATTTGATTGAGAAGAATTCGCATCACGTTCCAGAGAATTCGCCACCTCGGACGCTGCTGCCTGGGCGGAATCGAAAGTGCTCCGTTGGGAAGCGCTCGGCGAATCTCCGGGGAGAACCTTTTGGAAGCCGCCGCCTTGGTAAATGACACCTCCAGTGTGTCTACGCGGCAATCGCAAGGAACCGCCGTAATCCGTACGTTCTCTCGGGAAGTTTCTCCGCGACGCGGGAGCCACGTTGAACGCACGTCTCGGCTCGTTCTTGCCCGCGTTTCTCTCCGACTTAGGCGAGAGAGTACGCGTATCCGTGGTCGTCGCGCATCTCCTCTGAGACGCTCGATTTCCATCCTGCACGGCGATCTGGCCGTGGACTCGCAATGGAGACTGATCGTTTCCATGCCAAGGACTACACTCTCCATAGCTGCCGATCGCAGCGTCGACGTTGAGCATCGCGCGTTCTTCCGCGCCCGGGACGATTTCGTAGCCACGAGCCACGTTCTCCGCGTCCGACGTGTCGGACGATCTGTCCGTTGGATATCCCGGCAATCGGTGCGGGCTATTCTGGTAACTGCAACTGAAACTCCCTCCTCCAGACAGGACCGAATTCTCTGGATACTCTAAAGGGACGCACACGTTCTGACCAACCGCGCCGTCCGCGGTGCAGTACTGGGAGAAATGCGCGAACGGAACACTCTCGTGGCCGTCGAGCTGGTGGGCGCTCGCGCTGTCACTCTGACATTGACTCGCGTTACCATCCAGCAGTCTCGCCGGGGAGTTGCAGTTGTAGAAGAAGCACTGCGGCACACTCGGATTCGGTATCACGTTCGCCGTCTGCAGATTCAGCCGCGCGGAAGAGGACTCCGGCGACGCCGGGTTCGACGGCTTGCCGCGCGTTTGCGCTATCACCGTCTCGTAGCTAGGCGGAGGACCGTATAATTGATAGTAAGGGCAATTGGCGTCGTTTAGTACGACGTTCATGTTCTGATAGTGGGTCGATGTGGTCGCGTTACTGTTGTACGCCGGCGCCGCTGTACTTCTCTGAGGACCTGCTTAAGAAAATCACCCATAAGTAAAGTTTCCACCCTCTCCCCTCGCACGTATTAAAGTAAGTCTATCAGAAGATACGAGCCTTTCCACATGCGGTGCAGTAGGACGGTATTTCTCGCTGAATTGTACGTGATGCGAGCCTGCTGCGCTTGGCAGGGCGCGTTGCGAAGAGAATTTTGCGATCTGCTGTTAGAAGACCGAGTCGGAATGGCCGAGGCTGCTGCTCTGTATCTGCCCTGCAACCAGTATCTATACCACCAACCACCGCCGGAACAGAGCAGGAACATGATTATGACCAGGATCCTGAAAGTTGCACGATACTTTCAATGTTACGCTGGTTAACGGAAGCGCTGCGGAATTGCATAAAAATCGTTTGTAGTCGAGCAACTGTAGGGTTGGGAAGTAACTCTAGCTTAACTTCGTTACTTTCTCTCCATCTGTAAATGTAACTTACTCGGTTACATTAACAGTTACTTTATATATGTTTTAAACCTCCGCAGATCGCACCAGGCCTTACACTTGCGCCTTTACCGACGCTTTACGATTCAAATGCAGATTTTGTTATTTTTACTTTCATCGCAAGAAAGTATAACTGCGAAGTAACGATTCGTTACTCTTCGAGCAACTGCAACTAGATACTTTTATAAAGTAACTTTTCCAACCCTGAGATAATTGTTGTCGAGAGAGATTGTTGTTAAAAATCCACTTACCAATAGTACCACAACTGATGGAAATTAAATCCGGGCGACACGCAACAACCGAAAGCGCAACAATACTCCGTTCTCGAACATCTGCAAGCGTTACAATTGCTGTTCAAGTTAAGGCTTCGTACGGTTTGCTAGACTAAATGCTACGCGATTCCTTAAAAGTAAGTGCATTTCATTGGACTCGACTGTAACCGCAGAGAACTAGTTGATACACAGAGGCGACGACGTACTCGTAGTATTTTATCTCTCCAGGCATGTCAGAGGCACAGTACTTTGCTTCTGCCTGAAAAGAAAAAAAAAGGAATTGCAGCGTCTTCAACGTAGATTCGTGGAAGCAAACGATCGTGCAGCGAACTGATAAAATTTAACAGACATAGTCTAAAATAATCGTAAGAGAATCCGGTGGCAAAAACTTTTAAACTACTCGGAGCGTCACGCGCTCCATTTTCTCGATTCTATCTCTAGAGGCGAAGTGAAACGTGACTGAGCGAAATTGCAAAAGGAGCAGCTTAAATCATGGTGAAAATGCAAACCGACGGTCCCTCGAGTCCGCGTGCGTGCAATTTCTCGAGTCGTAAGGGAGAAACTGGGAGGAACGAGCGTCGTCTAGCCGTGAAGGACGAGGCGCAACTCACGTAAACGAGACACTTCGATGTACCCACGAATATCGCGAGTTTCTTCCTGCCGCTGCGAGCCATCTCGCCAGGTGGACCGCCGGCGTCGATTCCCCGAGTCAAACGCGATGGGACCTAGCGCGGTGTTTTGACATAATCGCCATTCCCCACCGTCCGCGACGTACACACAACATTGCACATTGCGCTTATTGATTTCAATTTCGGAACTCAACAATGACGTCAGCTCGCCAGCAGTGCTACCACCGGTGCGACGGTGACGGCACGAGGCGCGCCAATGGACGGGACGCCACGACTCTCGGGCCCGAGATCGCAGAATCTTTTTCCCTCCAGCGCAAACTCCGTCTTCTCACTTTTCGCGAGAGAGTTCACGCTAGAGGAAAAAGATTCACGATCGAGCCCCAGGTGGAAATACCATCTACCGGAAACATATAATGCAATTTTGCGGAATTACATTTTTAAATATCCCTCTACCCCCTAAATTTCGTATTTCGGTAAAAAATCAGCGACTTGTCTCCCTCAAAAAGTAACGCAATTTTTATCTAAAGGATCTCTCACGATTTTCTTATCACTTTTCAACAGCGTGCTTTCACTTTTCTTATATCTTGCAGTGCGAATTTCACTTTAAAAAAAGTTCTCGTTAATTTTGAGATGCATTCAGTAACTTTGATTGATGGTGGAAATACCATCTACCGAAAACATATAATACAATTTTGCGGAATTACATTTTCAAATATCCCTCTACCCCCTAAATTTCGTATTTCGGTAAAAAATCAGCGAGTCTCCCTCAAAAAGTAACACAATTTTTATCTAAAAAACATCTCACAATTTTCTTATCACTTTTTAACAGTGTGCTTTCACTTAATCTTGCAGTGCGAATTTCATAAAGAAAGTTGCCGTTAATTTTGAGATGCATTCGGTAACTTTTCGACAACTTTGATTTCACCTTTCAGTTTTACCGTACCGATTAGAATCAGCGAAATATTTCTATCAGGGAAATCGCTTCAGAAACTGTCGGTTGATTCTTGACCACTGGACGAAACAACGAGGCATCTACATATTTTATTCACTTTATTTATCTCAAGATCTTGTTTGACAAGCAAATTGATTATAAATAGATGATACAAAATCAAAGAAGTAGCAACATGTACATTTATATATGTATAGAGACTCGTGCTTCTTTTTTTTATTTCCTTACTTCTAATATATTATAATTGTACAATCTTTATAATCTATGCCTTTCTCGATGCTCTTGCGCGTGCTGCGTTCTATTCGATTAAACAGATGTAGCACACAAACCGCGTAATTATGACAATAACGTTCGTATTTGACTCGCTTTCATACCAAAGATTATAATCGTGCAGTCGCGAAAGCAGTCAAACGTGGCAATGCAGAGCGGCGAAACAATTGGAATTTTGAATCAACCACAATCTGCAGTTAAACAATTTTGTCTTCCAAGTTTTACTTGCTTCCTTTTCAGATCACAGTTTCATTACAAAGGCGCATTGATATACATCTTTCCTTCATTGATCGATTGCTATTTTTATCCTACGACTTTTCGATCCCCTTTGCCTCGAATAACTGACATTTAAAGATTGAGATTTAAATACCTTTAGATTACCTTGAGATTTAAATCTCTCATTCTCACAAAAAAAAAGCCTAGCATTTTAAATAATGCTGTGCTTCTCGTCACAAGATATTAGCTTTATCCAAGATCTGCAAAGCGCGAAGTCTTATAATTCGTGGAAGTGAGGGAAGCGAGGAATTTGATGTTAATCAAATTTTTACAACATATAAAATTCAAGTGAACACTATACAAGTTTACACGAGTTTATATACGATACACTAGATTCGGAAATTCGTTACGTAATGCTCAGGTGAAGCATGCACCTAACAATATTCTCTTCTCTCTTACGCTTTATCAGATTTCCACTATGGCGGATAATAGCAAAGTGGTCTCGACAGTTAGATTCTGCCAGTTTTCCGACGTTGCGCGAAACGAGGAGCGGACCGTCGGACGTCGCGAGCTGTCGAGCCGGCTGCGCGGGCGAGCGGACCAAGAATCAAAGAAACGGTAACGCTTAGCAAGCCCATCAGAGTTGTAGATCTCGCAAGATCCTCGAATGTCGATGGCAACGTACCCCTGAATCCCCTGAATCCTCTGCACGTGTCTCTAAGTAATTGCAACGTTGACAACGTCGACACCTCGCGTTACGGCACTGCACTCGCCGGTGTTCGGAATTCATCTCCCTCCGAGAAGGATGCGGCAAAAGTCGCGATGATCGTGTGTGGCGTAAACGGTGGTCGGGATGTCGAGAATGTTGGGGCAGAGGAAAGTTGTAGGACGTCGCAGCTTGATAAGAGTTCGCGAGACGACGTTGCGGATCGCGCGCGCAAGATAAAGAACAAGCCGATTGTGAATCAAGATCCGAAGGTGGCCAAGTTCAATCGGTTGAACAAATTGATTCAGGAACTGCGGCTGGCCCTTATGAATCAGGAACTCGGCGCAACTTGTCCCAAGGAGCACGAGGCGCTCGAGGAGAAATACCGTCTACTGCAGCAAAAGCTTAGAGACATGACGGAAAAGTTGAACTCGAATTTAGAAGAGTTCGTAGTTATGCACGAACGAGCGGAAATGGCTGAACAAGCTCGAAAGAAAATCAGACTCGCCTTGGCGTTATTGTTGGTTGAATTCAGCCAGGTTTTACAAGATTTCAGCACTTGTCGAGACATCGATGACGAACAGTGTAATAAATTGAAGGCGATGTACGACAAGATGTTGGATATCCAAAATGACGAGAGGAAAGCGTCCGAACAGCTCATAAATCATGAAATATCCAACTCGAAAAATTGCGGCGCCCACATGGCGGAGAATGTAGAGGAATGTGTACGCGCAGAGGCATCCTCGAACGGTGTCGAGGACAGTTTGGATTACTTTGACCAAAAAGGAAGAGGAGCACACGTTGCGGCAAGCAGAGCGAAGTAACGAGGTTCAAAATATTAACAAGGAACTGGCGCTGAAAGAGAGCCTCGTGTCGGAGCTCTTAAAGAGCATCACGCAACAAACTGCGTTAACAAACTTACGTATCGCAAAGTATTTTATCCGTGTCCATACGTTTATATGTATCTTGTCCCGACTCAAATCTCTTGCGGGAAACGTCACTCGCGGTTTACCTACCGAATGGATTTACATTTCTGTTGTAATCACCGTCATCGTTGCCGGCCCGACCGTTATCATTGTCATCGTCATCTTTAAAAGGATTATTCGCGTCGTCGTCGTCGTCGTCGTCGTCATTGGCGAAGGGATTCTTAGATTCGTCATAATCGTCAGTCTCAAAGGGATTCGATGGCGCAGCGAGGGCTTTCGACGAAACGAAGGGCTTTTCGATCGGTGACGACTTTGGTGTGGTACTGTTTAAGATACGGGCCTCTCTGATCGGCACCGGCGAGGCCTTAGCGGAATTGCCGCGTGGCGTAGACAAACCGCTTCCCGTTCCCGATATATTCGCCTCCAACGACGAGGAATACACGTCTGGCTTGACAAAATTCCGAAAACGCTCCTCCGTTATTAACGTCGGGACGTCGTAACCAGCTCGTCGAGGCTCCGTTTTTCCTGCTGAGAAACGCGAAAACGTCCGATTAATCATTACGAGTTGACACTTGAGACTGATGACGCAAAGCTCCAGATGAGAGTTGTATTATCGCATTCAATTTTGACTTTCATCCCGCGTACGTCTCCGTGTAGTTATACGAGAAGAATAAAGAGTCGAAGTTGATAAGTAAAAGGAATATAAATAAAGTGAATTGTAACTTGCGTCGACAACAAAATAAATACAACAGGTGCGGCATTAAAATATACCTGAGATAGAACTTTTTCCTTCGTTTAACCTGAGTCTCGCCTCCGCACCTGGGCCATAATTTAACTTGGGTTCCTCCAGCCTGGTCGGCGTAGGTAACGATTTGTCTGTATCAGTAATTACTGTTAATTTCTTAAAAACGCCTCTACCAAAATAATCGGCTACTAAGGAAAATGGGTCCTCCGCTCGATCGAGAAGACTGTGGAAGGTTTCGTGCAGGTCCCTTGATTGCTCTTGCGCTCTTATAATATCCAGTAATTTCTTGTTGTTCGGCAGGCAGGCCGGGCATTCATTCTCATTTTCCGAAAAGCTTTGAAAGCAACTGCCAAGATGAGCGTACAAAAATGAAATAAATTGTAATAATATACGTGAACTAATATACATTATATTATTTACATTATAAAAATAATAATTTTAAGAAAGCTCACTGTTGGTGATAGGAATGCTGACACATGAAATGCACGGATGGCAATTCCAGCTGATGATGGCACGCGCTACATCGCGATCCTTGAAAGATTATCGTATTGTTCTTTATTGCCTCTATTTGTTCCCGTAATTTAAGAGTGTCGGCTCTGTATTTCTCTGTTAATTCCGCGTCGGCTTGAGTTTGCTCGTTCTCCGTTCGTAATACACTGCACAAATAACTTCTGACGTCTCCCAACGTGCAGGTCAACGATGTGGAAATTGCGTCAATGACCATCAAAGGAGATAACAGCCTTTCTTGAGCTGCAATATACTTTTACATTAACGAAACAATATCCTTCCAATGCACTTAATTGAACATAATTGATATCCCGTAAATATATTCACCGATATAAGCTAATATATCCGCGAGAAGTTTCGTTGGTGCGTCCTTGTTTTTAGCTACGCTCCACAAAGCTTGTACCCACAGATTAGGGTCCTGGTGACCAAATCTTTTACAAGTGGCGAGAACTTGTTCACTATCTCCCTCGCATAAGTGAAATCTCAATATTTCTTGATATCTGAGATAACACAATTTATGTTTAAGTGTATTTATTTCTATGCACAAACTTTTATATTACGACTTACAATTTGCTCTCTTCGTAAAGGAACAGTAATCCTTTTCTGAAATTATGTTGATGACAAAGTATTAATATTTGGTCTTTATCGTAACGGGCCTCAGAATTCTGCAGAAGTCGTACAATTTTCTGTTCGTACTGTAGTTTAGCCACATCGTTATCCAATGCCGACCAAACGTGTAAATAGTGTTCTACTAATGTATTGTAAATGAGTGTACTCCATCTACAAGAAATATGAAAAAAAATTAAGAGTTAATTTCACGATAAGAAGAATCTGCAGCTTTCATGAAAGAAATAATAACCTCGTATCTGATTTAACTAAATGCTCCAAAAACTCTACGAGTCGTTCAGAATTATTGAGAAATAAGTGAATAAAGTCTTCTGGACTAGCTTTATCGACGCGCTGTTCCGTATAGCCGTTTAATGCTTCCTGCAAAAGTGAAAGAATCCATAATTCTTCATCTTTTAATTTCTCTTCAAATAACAATTTGGTTAAAACGAGTAGAGGAATAAGACTGAAACATATGTACACACCTGATCTACAAGAGGTTTGTTGGAAGGTTTATAGTTTGTGCACAAGGCTTTCAAAAATTGTGTGGATTCATTTGGCACATTTTCTATTAGGATATTTCCATACTTCTTCATATTGGCTTCTGCCTAAAATATTTTAAAATAATTTTTCAATATAAATATTTTACTACTCTTTGCAGAAATTTATGTATGTACAATATGTATTACCTCTTCAAATTCTAACGTTGCCATGTACTCCAGAGCCTTTTTATATTCCTGTTTATCTTCAATTTGGATACGGAGATACCATTCGTGTTTACTGTGTTTTTGTGCGAGTAATAGGGCATCCTCCGGTGATGCTTGGCGGCAAACTTTTATCGCTATTTCCACGTCAAAATCAACTTCGCGATCCTTTGTCTAAATTATATACAAAGTAATATAGAAAAGATACATAATACATACGCACATTGGCGAGTTTTACGTGTCCAACTTACCATAATAAACTCTTTTAACTTATCGGTATGGTTAAGCTTAGTGTAACAATTTAATAACAAGGTGGTATGGTCTTCTGTTGCCTGTCCATTTTTATGCAATGCTTGCAAGTACGTCGTCAAGTTATCGATATGTTGGGAATCCAAGAATTTTCTGATTACATAAGACGGTTCTAATTTGCCTATAGTCTTTATATATTGCTCTATAGCACCGTTGTGATCCCCCTTGGAATACAAATGATCTCCGTATTGGCGGAAGATGTCTATGAGACCTTCCGCATCATACTGCTGATTTTTGGCTATTCTGTGCGGTAGCGTAAAGTTGTATTGTTAAAAATTAGTCTTTTAATCATCTAATTTAATTGCAATCAAATTATCCGACCTACCTTATGGAAACATCGTACAAATTCTTTTTGAAAAGCAATGCTAATTTCGATTGCAAGTCTTTCTCATCTAAATGATACAATTTGTTATCTCCACTAAGTATAAAAAATCCACCCCACTCGGATAGGACCGCTTGGACAGACACCATAGGCGCGGAGAATACTATAAACTTGTTTTGAATATCGAGCACAGTAATGATGTGCTTGTCGACACCAGGAGGTATCGGTTCTATTGTGCTACGGGGATTTAAGAGGCATTAGAATGCAAGTATACAAGGATTACAAAAGAGAAACCGCACACGCGCACGCGTTCGTTACTTGGGTTTGGCGGAGATAGTCGTTGTTGTTCTTGGAACGTTCGCCGCTTCTTTCGCCACTATCACCAAATATGTCCTGAACCATTCCAGCATTATCTTCTGACCCTCTACCGCATAGCACGGGCCTCTACCGTCTGGCGTGTAACAATAAATAGCCTGAAAATGTTTGTTCCTTTGAAAGTGGATATAAAATGCAATGTAAAACGCAAGCACGGGCACAATACACACGTCGTTACGTCCGATCATAAAGTGACTGTCCTGCATAGACTCGGCGAGCACGCTGCATTTTCGCGCGCAACCCATAGTGTCCAAGGTAGATTTGAATTCCTTATCCTTAACGGTGATATTATACAGGAACACACAATTTTGTGTAGCGACGAACAGATAGGTCTGCTTACCGGTCGCTCGTATCGCGAGGCCGGTAATAGACAGATTGGAATCCTTCAAAACCTTTATCTTATTCTTTCGCTCTCGGGTCAGGTCACCCCTAAAAGTAATTTAATTCCAGATTGCTATAATTAACATGTCAGGTACAAAATGTATAATGAAATATCAAATATGTTGCGTAAGAAAGACACCCCCCTCTCTCTCTCTCTCACAATATTAATAATCCAATATGATACAAAAGAACATAAACTACTGAAATTAAACAAATGTAGTGATGGAAATCGTTTAGGTAATGTGAGCCGTCACCGTTGAAATGGTGTAATAAGATTCATTTAAAAGTATCGTATTGGTATTAACAGATCTCTAATCAATAAAAAAACCACATACTCTCAAATTATTAAACGTCTCGGTCTGCGAAAGCGAGCCTCTTCGGCAATAGATTAAAATTAAACGTACTAATGTACACTAGGTGCGAACAATAAATTCGACGTTCATAAAGTACTTACCTGTACAACATAATAGATCCATCCCCGAATCCAATAGCCATCAATGTCAGACTAGTATGTACACACAGAGCTGTCGCTGGAACCGCCCTGTAGCTAGGTATGGCTCTGCTTATTCGAACGCACGTTGGATTACCCTGCTTATCAGGTTTGGCCAAGTTCCAAACCTTTATAGTAGGATTGCATCCGGGCTCGTCCTCCTGTCAATACATTGAAACAATGAGATCAAATCATGTGCCCGGTCTGATTAAGGAGGAGCATGGACAGTGCGAGAACGCAGTGACACTCTTACACCAATGGTGAACAAGAAGGTGGAATGTTGGACTTGCTGCGCCAACACCAGCGTAATCTCGTAAGCTCGAAAGGTCGTGATCTCGTACGACCTGTTTATCAAGTGCACGCTGCCCGTGTTGTCCCCGAACACCAGATTGCCATTGCCGCTGGTAGCCGCCGAGACTTGCGCATCCTGCGAAAGAGACGTGACGATGAGACTAGTGCTGCGTTTGTCGTACGACAAAATTTTCAAACGTACTGGCTGGCTAAAAATATCTAGAAATTCAAGAACCTTTATACGCTACAACCAATCAATGGCTGCGTTCAGCAGAAAAAGCTGCTTTGCAACTGTTGTAAAATTCGTGAATCTGATTGGTGTATTCTCTTAATCTTGAGTGAATTTAAGAGCATACGCCAATCAGATTCACGAATTTTACAACAGTTGCAAAGCAGTTTTTTCTGCTGAACGTAGCCATTAGCTTGAAAAATTTGTTGCACAAAAAGTGTACTGTACACCTATCGTGGAGACGTTCGGGTCGGGGGACCGTTCAATTATTTCCTAGATTTCTATCGTGTTTTCTAGGAGAGACGAAATAATTCCGATCGAAATCCAATCCGAGCATTTCAACAATAAGTACTCCGGCGTCCCAACCGGAAACTTTGGTTCTGCCCACGACGAAGGTGCGTGACGGTCGATCAACGTCGTCAGCGCGCGAGAGAGAAGTCAACTCACCCCGAACGCTTTAGCGATCTTGCCCGCGTCGACTTCCTTCTTCAGGTCGAAGAAATTAAAGCGCCTCCACTACAACGATAACACGGTTAGTACTGACATTGTAGGTTATGTCGGGCGAGAGACGTCGAGCCGCGAAGGGAATAAACGAAAAGTGACTGACCTCCAGGAACGCCATGGCGTGTGAACGGCGCGACGCTTATTCGCACATGTACCCGCGGGGACTTGCAGGTCCAGCGGTTCGTGTACTCGCACGATCGATCCACCGCACGCCCGCAGCCTCCCTCGTAGCTGCTCCCCGTCAGCTGTTCGCGCGTCGCTGCTGACGGCGCGTCCATCGAGCTTGCGCGCATGCGCGGTCGCGCGAAACTGGCCGCCGGTTTCGGGGCTCCCGCGCTAGGTGGCGGCACCGGCGCGGCCGGACGGACGCGCCTCCACCGGCGCCGCGGGGAGGCTCGCTCTCGCTTCCCCCCCCCCCGGACCGCGAATTAGACCAGTTTTTCGAGCGCGCGCGCGTCAAACTTCATCGCATCTCATTTACGTGGTAAAGTGACGAGAGCAGTAATTAAAAATGTTTAGCGGAGCGCTCGCTCGCGCCGCGCGGAAACGGTGGGTCGCGTACTCGGAAGGGGACGGACACGAGGCTCGCACACAGGTATCGTTCTCGCTCCTTCTCTCTCGTTCCTTAAGAATCGGTGTCTCGCGAGTGTCTCGCGTCAAACTTTAATGGCGGCCGTTGGCGCTGCGTCAATGACCGTTTTGGCGTCCAAAAGCGTAATTGAGACTCCACCTTGATCGCTATTTCGACGTTAGGGGTTTATTTCCGTTTGCAATTACGTGCGCCGCGAAAAATCCCAACAAACGCCGAAGCAACGGTCGCGTAACATCAATATAAATGTTGCGCGACTGTCACTTCGGTGTTTGCCGGCACGTTTGAAGAACTCAACAATATAGAATATACATGAAGTATAGCTTAGAACGTTATAGAATATATATTATTGGAAGTATAGAATGTATAGTAAAGTATGTATAGTAAATGTACATACTATAGCTCGCATAAAGAACAAATAGAAAGAAAAATTTTCAAGACACGGAGACGCCTCTTGGCTTCTTGTCTCGGAAAAGTTTTATTCGGATTTCTCTTTAACCGATACCTTTGATAGACCCGCTCCACTCTGTTACTATTAGTGTGCAACTAAAGCGAATGAAAGCTTCATTAAATAATACAAATACAATTCAAGGCACGAAATCTTTTAAGCGCACTGATGTGCATCTCTAAGAATCTGAGGATCGTATAAATCACGCATCAGACTACAGACTACAGACTCTGACTCGACTACTGACTCGGACTCCCGACTATGATTCGACCAATCACAGCAAAGTACCGGCCGACCCTGACTGCCAACTCGGGAATAGACGCCACTCTAATTGGTTGAATCATAGTCGGGAGTCCGAGTCAGTAGTCAGAGTCAGAGTCAGAGTCGAGTCTGTAGTCTGATACGGGCTTAACGGCCGAATCAGACTAGCAATTGCCGACTCGGATTGGATTGGGATTGACGATGTTTTCTGGCCAACGAGAGTCGGTT